GTTCATGGTGATATTGAGTATAGGATGGGACCTAGAAGAGCCCTATGAAGCCCTGCTTGAATACGTCTGCTAGAGGTTCCGGCGTGTCATATTGTTGTACGGCTGGAATAGGATGAGGAACACAGCCTGGCGATGGTAGTGGCCTTGGCATCATATGTTGTGCTCTCGGAGCGACAAATTTGAGTGTTCTATATTTATCAAACATTTTGAATTCGCTGTTGTCTCGAATATTGCGGCCCTCCTCAAGTGGAAGTCCAGTCTTGGGAACCATTTGGTTTCTTCGTACCTCTCCTCGTAATGCCACTGGTTCTGATTTGACCGTGAGTCCATGCGCTTGGTATGGCATCTCCTGCAATCGGGCCGGAAGTGTGATTGGGATTAGTCTCACCAGCGTCGATGTCGAATGTACACGCTTGGCGAATTCCCATTCTCATCTGTGATGGGCCTGAGTGTAAATAATCTCTCCAGCTACATTCCGCCTCAAATCGGTCTCCTGAGCAATCTCACTTTTCTCGCCTCTTTTTCAATTGGTTCTCGGGGAAAATATTGCCGGAGATCAAACTAACTCGATAGTATGTCTACAACTATTCCCTTTCTAGTTCTATTCCTCCTGAAATGGGAAAATATGACAGATTTGGAAAGGCTCCACATGGACACCAACTTCCTCACAGGACCAATTCCTTCCACTTTGGGGAACTTAACCAAATTTCACAGCTGAATCTATTTGCTAATGAGCTTACAGGTTCCATACCACTGGAACTAGGGGACGTAAAACTTCTTAGCTCGTTGAGCCTTCATATAATAAACTTCTTAGATGATAATATGCCGGTTCAATCTCGCCGACATTAGGCAATTTGATGGAGCTTTCCCTTCTTTATCTCTATGGAAACAAGCTTTTGGGTCACATTCCTGATGAGATAGGAAATCTCCGCTCTATGCTTGTTAGGCATAGAGCTGAGTACACATCAGATCATTGGCCCAATTCCTTCTTCTTTGGTTAACTTGACCGACCTACTATATTTGTTCTTCTGCGAGAATTAGCTGTCTGGATTGACTCCTGGATCCTTGGGGTATCTAATGAACTTGGAGGTGCTGCAGTTGGATACCAACCAGTTCAGTGGCTCCGTACTAGAGAACTTGTGCCGCGGTGGATCTCTCCAAAACTCACAGCTAAGTGGCAACAACTTAAATGGTTTTATCCCTATAAGTTTGAGAAATTCCACAAGCCTTGTTAGAGTTCGCAGGAAAACTAGTTCACTGGAAACATAACTGGGACCTTAGGTCTCTTCCCCAACTTGGACTCTATTGACATGAGTTTCAACAAGATCTCTGGAGAAATCTCAATAAACTGGGGAAGCTGCACACGTTCAAGTGATCTAAGAATTGCTGGAAATAACATCAATGGAAGCTTGCCTCCTGAGATTGGAAATGTGACTCAACTATGGGCAATTGATCTTTCTTCGAATGGTTTAGTCGGCGAGGTTCTTACAAAATTTGGAAAATTGACTTATTTGGTTAATTTGAAATTAAGTAGGAAATGACTTCTGGTCTTCTGAAATTGGATTTGTCCAGGAATAGGTTAAGCATGTCTATCCCGCAGAGTATTGGGCTTTCTTCAAACCTGGTCCTCTTGGATTTGAGCAACAACCAGTTGAGCCAAGATGTTCCCGGGCAAATAGGGATGCCAACTCATTTGTCCGAGCTAGACTTGAGCGATAACTTCTCTTTCTCCGGACTGAACCATGAAGTCTTCCATTGGGCCCGCGTTGCTACCCCACAATGCCCACCGCTCGAAAACCGCGTTGGTCACTGGATTCCTTCTTTGACATATCCACTAAACACCGGAACAGATTGTGGATTCACCAATTTACTATCGGCTATAATACTATTTGTTAGAACCGCGCAGCAGAAGCCTAATACTTTTGTCCGGGGAGATAGCCAAGCTAAAGCTCAAGTATAAGCTCGTCAACATATTTAGTTGGACCCACTTTCATTCAAAAGCTTAAATTGTTGAGTTTTAGGCTAACTATGATATATTAACTGCTACATGCCATATCAATTATCCAATTTGAGACTTCTTTAACACAATTCACATGTGTATCTTAATATGCAATTTAAGTGTGAAGAAGTCAAGGTCTTCCGGCAATAGAATAGAAATGTGCCTACTCAAGAAGTCAAGGTCTTTTGGGGTTTCATGTGTGATGATTTTTGGATCAGTGAGCGTTCCAATGGTTCGTGGGAAGTCATGGTCTTTATGGACTTTTATTGATGATGATTGGACCTAAAATTTCTAACTTATCGTATGGGAAGGGTCATGGGGAAGTTTTCCAGCCCTTTCCTTTTTTGACTGACAAGCTTTCAACTTATGATGCAGTGCAAGAAACGGCAAATGGAAAAGGAATATGCAGCCAAACTTTATGGAGGTGATGTGTGAAAAGTTAGAGAGTGTTCATACACAAACACAACATAAAGCTTCTTATTTTACGTCACACTTTTCTTCTCCAACCTCTTCCTGGCAAATGCTTCGAATGCATTTAGTCCGAGTTGTAACAGTTATGTTTAAAAAAAAAAGTAAAAGAAAAGATGATTAGTCAAAAAGGATGGGCTTAGAAAAACGAGAGAAAAAAATAAAGGAGATTAAAGAGGGAACGGAAGAAAGGAAAAAAGAAAACAAAAGAGGGTTCACGCGTACATACCTTGAAGACCTTGATGAGTCAAAACCGCATTTCGTAGCGCCTAGTAATGATTCGAAGACTTTATTCCTTAAATCGGATAAATTTTTAGAATTAGAGCATAAATTCAGATTTATGTGAATTACGAGTTGCTGCATTCAATCTAGGAGTTATTTAGATGATTGATTAGAGTATTTTGGAGTCATGAGATTTTACATTAGTCGATTTCAAGTTATGATTTGATCATAATGAATTGTTAAAGTTTCGCGCGCGTTGCTGCTCAGTTTCGAATTTTTGTTTTTGGCAATAATTTGCACATGTCGGCATCTTTTGAGTCGGTGAAGTTTAATATCTTTCAAGGATTTCTTTTGATCATAAGAACACTTGAATTGGAGTTCGGTAGAGAGAGATACATTGCCAAGGAGTTTATTGCGCGAGTGGACATTCGTTGTGCGAGAGGTTGTTATTTAAGTTAGAGGTTATTCGTCATGGTTGGTCGTTCTTGAGTTGATTCTTGGTTAAGGTGGTTATTAATTTGAGTTATGATATTATTTCTCATTTAATTGATACGATTTCAAATTCGTTGCCTTGAGATAACTTTCGTGATTTAGTTTAGACTTTTCCCAAATGAGTGGTACTTATCTATTCTTTAATTTTGGACACTCATATTTTGAAAGTGGTAAGGATTAAATAGCATATTTGTTGTAGAAAAACCGGATCGAGCATTTGCTACCCTTTATGATATTCGACATATTTGAATTGATTGTGATTATTTGAAATAGTTTGATCTAAATGCTAGCGAATGGCATGAGATGTAATTTACGAAACGAATTGCAAAAGGTTATACGAACTAATTTATGAACTTGGTTTGTAAATCAAATAAAATATTATACCAAGGACTAAGTGGTACTAGGTGACGTGAGTCTTGTGGAAGCTACTTCTAGAACATTGTACTATCAATACGAATTTGCTCTAGGACAAAATGCTACATGGTGACATAAGTCTCGTGGGAGCCATCTCTAGAACCTTGTACTATAAATATATGTTGGTTAAGGACTAAGTGTTGCATGGTGAAGCAAGTCACATTAGAGTCACTTCTCGAATCTTGTACTATCGATACGAATTAGTAAAAAACTAAGTGCTATATCGTGACATGAGTCCCGTGGGAGTTTTTTCTAGGACCTTGTACTATTGATATGTACATCTCAAAGACTAAGTGCTACATTTTGACACGAGTCTCGTGAAAGCCACCTTTAGAACCTTGAGTGGTGATGACGATGATAAGTGATAGAGGAATTATATTGTGAATGTGTTATCTCAATGAGAGGTTTAACTGAACGGGTGTGATCTTCCACTCTTCGTTTGCCATTTTTTGGTCATAATCCAGTAGTCATCTCCAATGGTTATTAGCTCATTAGCAGCTTGAACTCATATAAATTCTGTTGTGTTTGGATTTGAGGTACGTTTGGAAATTATGGTCCTTCAGGAAGGAGAGAAGCGATTAAAAATGTGAAGTGCCTTTGTCATCATCTAAATCAAGAATAGATCTTAATAGATTATGGGCTACGTAATGCGACATTTATTGTAATATAATTATTGATATGGTTCTCTCTACCCTTTAAGGATCAATAATCTCTTAGATTTATCTGGTGCTATTCCTAGCAAAGGATCGTGTCAAGTTTGGATGGATTGAAAATGGATCCATTTCAAATTGACCAATTTAACTCATATCGATCTATATTTTTGTAATATAATTTTGACAATCCGTACTCAATCCCACTCGGACCCAATTCATACGCAACTCGACCCAAGCTCCAATTCTTAGCAATTTTTCCCTTCGAATATGGAAAATAGCATACTAAAAAAAATAACGTCGATCACTTTTTTTTCGTAGACAGTTAGATTTTCTTTTTTACCGTGCTCTCGAGGCCATTTGGATAGATCATCAGCGGTCGTGTCTGCAAGAATGGGGTCAACCGCGTCAAGATTTGGCTTCATGAAGGCCAAGTGAGATGACTTTTTGCGCTTTGAATTGCAAATTGTGTAGCCTAAATTATGGTCCGATCGTGTGGAAAGTCGAGTGTTCACTCACATCCCGAAAGACCTCGACTTTAACATCACTTTCCTCCAAATAATGGGCGGGACTCAATTCGCAGGGACAGACCGCGTCAGAAAAGTCACCGACGAAGACTCCAAAAGATAAAATTCCAAAGTCTCCAAGGAACCAAAAAGTCGTCCAGTCAGCTTTCAGATGGGCTACCTACAAACCGATGTTATGTCATGGAAAAATGATAGGAAGGTGAGTTTTCGCTTTTCACAACCTTTTTAAGCATCGCTCATTGCCTCAGGAAAAGAAAAACCAGCTTATCAGAACCAAAAGAGGAGAAGAAGAACCCATGGATTCTTCATGTTCTTCATCAATATTCAAGCGGGTCATGAGCCTTGTGGCTGCCCTTGCCCTTTTCACTCTCTTTGTCACTCCACTTCCTGCTGATGCTTCCCCTGCAGAAGCCCAAACCCTCCTCAAGTGGAAGTCCAGCCTTGGCAACCCTTCGGTTTCTTCCCTCTCTTCCTGGACTCTCTCTCTTCGTAATGCCACCGGTTATAATTCGACCATGAGTCCGTGTGCTTGGTATGGCATCTCCTGCAATCAGGCCGGGAGCGTGATCATGATAAATCTCACCAGTGCCAATGTTAAAGGTACGCTTGACGAATTTTCATTCTCATCTTTGTCTCGTCTCATGTACATGGACCTGAGTGTAAATAATCTCTCCGGCCACATTCCACATCAAATTGGTCTCCTGAGCAATCTCACCTATCTTGACCTCTCTGAGAATCGGTTCTCGGGGAAAATACCACAGGAGTTCGGTAATTTGAGCAAATTAGCTAGATTGTACGTCAACACAAATGAACTTTCTGGTTCTATTCCTCCTGAAATGGGAAATATGACAAATTTGCTAGTGCTCCAGATGTCCGTTAACGGCCTGACAGGACCGATTCCTTCCACTTTGGGGAACTTGCCCAAATTAACAAACCTGAGCCTAATTAATAATGAGCTTGCCGGTTCAATCCCGCTGACATTAGGCAATTTGACGGAGCTTACGATGCTGCTATTGAGTACAAATCAGCTCACTGGCTCCTTACCAGAGAACTTGTGCCGAGGTGGGTTGCTCCAATTCCTCGCCGTGCATGGCAACAACTTAACTGGTTCTATCCCTAGAAGCTTGAGAAATTGCACAAGCTTAGTCAGACTACGCCTCGCGGAAAACCAGTTCACTGGAAACATATCTGAGAGCTTTGGTGTCTACCCCAACTTGACCTATATCCATATGAGTTTCAACAAGTTCTATGGAGAAATCTCAACAAACTGGGGAAGTTGCGCGCATTTAGCTACTCTAAGGATTGCTGGAAATAACATCACTGGTAACTTGCCTTCAGAGATTGGAAACGCTAGTCAACTAGAACTACTTGATCTTTCTTCCAACGGTTTAGTTGGCGAGATTCCAAAAGAACTTGGGAAATTGAAAATTCTTTTCGAACTCGACCTAAACAACAATAGTCTTACCGGTCCAATTCCTTTTTCTTTGGGTGATTTGACTCACCTAGAAGTATTGCTCCTCAACGACAATCAACTTTCGGGACGGTGGCCAGTGGAAGGTTTCTCAAATGCCTCATTGTTAGCAATTAATTTGTCCAACAACAAATTTGATGGTCCACTTCCACTCCCATCAACCTTCACAGAGTACTATTCGATCGCAAATAATAAAATAGCGGGAAAGATCCCTTTATCCATATGCAATGCCGCCCTCATCTCAGTCCTCGTCTTGTCTAATAATAGCTTAGCCAGTACCCTACCCGAGTGCTTATCAAACTCTTTTTTATCGGTTTTGGGCTTGCGAATGAATAATCTTTCGGGCACAATCCCTCGAACATTTTTGCCACGGTACTTGAGAAGTCTAGACTTGAGTGAAAATCAATTTGAAGGCACATTGCCACAATCCCTTGTCAATTGTAAGAAATTGGAAGTTCTAGATTTCAGCAATAATAAGATAGAGGATAAGTTCCCCGCATGGCTAGGAACACTGCCAGAGCTTAAAGTTCTTTCTTTGAGGTCCAACAATTTTAAGGGTTGTTTGGATTTTCCAAGGGTAGCTCATCTCTTTACCAAGTTGCACATATTGGACCTCTCGAACAACAGTTTCACTGGTCCTTTACCAGCCAATTTGATAGCGAAACTTCAAGGGATGATGAATGGACAAAATGGGCAAGAGTCGCAAGACAAATCATTGTACATGAGGCAGGAAGGTTTTAGGGGGTCCTATGAAGATTCCGTGAAAGTGATCATGAAAGGACTGGAGATTCAGCTAGTGAGGATCTTGACCATCTTAGTAACCATCGACTTATCGCTCAACTCTTTTGAAGGGAATATCCCGAGTTCTATTGGAAATCTTCATTTTCTCATAGGGCTCAACCTTTCCCACAACAACCTCGTGGGTCCCATTCCTTCATCCCTTGGAAATTTGACTAACCTTGAATGGCTAGATTTATCTTCAAACAAGCTTAGTGGGAGGGTTCCTATGGAACTGGGAGATTTGTCCTTCCTTGGGTATTTGGACCTCTCAGAGAACCAACTCACAGGCCCCATACCTCAAGACAAGCAATCGAGCACATTCACGAGCAACTCATTTCGTGAGAACCTGGGCTTATGTGGAACTCCATTAGAGAATACATGCCCTGGTGATGCTCAACCTCTTCCTCCACCACAGCTGTTCTTCCAAAAGTATAGTACAAGAGAGCATAGTAGTGGGTTTGACAGGAAAGCAATCGGGATAGGCTATGCATCCGGAATCGTGATTGGAATCTCCCTAGCGTACATTTCATTTGAAACTAGAAGACCCAAATGGCTTGTGGGACAAGTGAGAAGCATGGAGAGAAGAGCCAAATTGATGAAGAAGCCAAAGTGGAAGGCCATCAAATTTCATGGAGGCCGGTAAAATTGTCGGGAAGTGGTCCTTTTGAACTATGTGCAGTGTAGATCAAGGAATACAATTTTTATCAGATTGAAAAGCAATTTCGCATATGGATGCTCATTTTTATTATGCTGCCATTTTCTTCTAAAGTGCGATTTCTGAATCAAGTCGATTGAATAGATGAACATGTAAGACATCTTTCAAAAACTCACTTTGCATCATTAACACCCTATATGTCCTTTTCTTGTTTAGCGCACACCATTCTTATTTCTCCATGGAAAAGAAAGAAAGATGAAGAGCTGTCGAAGCCCATTTTTCCCGGGGCTACTTGATTGAAATATGTCCTTAATGATTTCTATATTTGTCATTGTCCCATTACACATTTCTGTTGAAGTTGCAGGTTGGTATTGGATCGTTGACTGGTAGTCTTGCACCTATCATACTTTTCTGCAATAGTGAACAGGGGTACTAATTCGAACCTCGAAGCATCTTCGAAGTTTAGATTCAAAGTAATCTTATCGTAAAATTCTAGGGTCCCCTAGGCTGATAAACTGAAATTTTTTCGTGTTTGCAGATTTTTGAAGTTGCTGGTAATTTTCAAATACTGTTCACAAAAAAAAATAACCTGTAACTTACTTATGAGTTAACTCGTCAATAAGTTACCAACATCATAATGAATTTATCAAGTTCATAGTTAATTAGCAACTTTTTCTAAATTCTAGGGCTAGTATCATAAAAAATCCCAAATTAGTATACCCATGCCACATTTAACTGAACTAATTTTCGTGTCACAAAAAATCCCAAACTGTTATATTTATGTCACATTTACCTCAAATTAATTTTTGTGTCATAAAAAATCCCAAACTATTATGCTCGTGCCACATTTACTCCAATCTAATTTTCAAATCATAAAAAATATGACTTTTGGCAGTTCTTTGAGTAAAATTAGCAGATTTTAGTAAATTTTCCAATCTAAGATTTTGGTGATTTGGGATTTTTTGTGATACAAATTAGTTTATGGTAAATGTGGCACTAGTGTAACATTTGGCATTTTTTGTAACGTGAAACTAGTTTGGGGTAAATGTAGCATAGGTATATCAGTGCGAAACTTTTCATGATACAAAAATTAGTTTAGGGTAAATGTGACACAAGTGTACTTGTTGCGACCCTTCCGGTGGGGCGAAGACGAGAAGACTAGTTTAGAGGTAATGTTGTGTTGAAAACCGGCGGTCCTCAATCGACGCAGGTTCTCCCAAACTGTTACCTTGCGCGATATTGGAAAATTACAATTGAAATAAATCTATCTATAAAATCCAACCTAACTAGAGCCACCTCTAGCTTGTGAGGCCGGCTAGGAGCCAAGTGAAGCATGGCAGATACCTCACTTTTACGCAACCAGAACTGAGATAAGGGACTTGATTAGACTAATTCGCTAACTAGTGTTCTTTTGATATCCTAACTTGATTGAATAGTTGCCTAAGTGATTCGCATGATCATTATCCATTTTATAACCCTGTGCCACTAAACGGTGTCCATGTGTTAGTGCGCAATTAGAAAAAAGTAGACAATCACAACCAGTACGAGAAGAAGAAAGCATATGGAAGTAAATTCAATGAAGTGTCAAACAAATAATATACATGGCTTTGTTATAAAACCCCACGGCAACAACAATCCCATGAGCTATGTTCAAATCGAATCCAATTTTTTATAAGAGACTAACCTATCTAAATCTAAACTAACTAGAGTGCTTTGACACGAATCCTATGCCTATGTGGCTACTGAACTACGAAATTAAGCCACCAATCTCATCAGTACACTTCAAAATCACGCCCAATCCACAGCCCACAGCAACGTTCAGTATGCAAACAAGCCCATTCCGCTCATGCAAATGATGTTCAACCATGCCAAATCGACTACGGATTAATTACATGCTAACGTGCCTTCGTACACATCTAAATTATACACTCAAATGGGACCAAAACTTTCGCAAAACAAGCCCATACGTCTCCAATCGGCAACATTCAAAGTGCTCAACCCACAACTCATCTAAACAATCGACATAAATACATGCCAACATTGCCAGGAAATCGACATGCTAATATTTCAACATGAGCAACCAAAGCAACACCTGAACGGGGCTCGACTCAATTCAAATTCACGCCCACAGAAGTGACCCGCAACGTTCAGTACCAAGGTAGAAGCAACAACCCCGAGTTTCCCATGAAAATACTAAAATGACTAGAAACCTAACCGTATATTAACATGCCATCAAGAGCAATCGGAATGATCATCAAATGACCTTGAGATGAATTCAAATCACACTCCATGAGGAATATATTCAACGAGCGCAGTCCGCAATTTAATTATAGAAACGATACCTAAACTTGCTAAAAGTGAATGGAAACCATGGACGCATTAGGACTTAATTTATGAACAAGCAAAATGACACCCAGCGGAACTAAGTCTAGAACCAGCAGACTGAACTAGACTCACTTTCATCAAACCAGGCTAAGCCCAAATTCATTAACTAATTAAACCCGAAGTTCATTAAGCCTAATTAAACCCATTTTATTATTTTCTTTCATTCATTTTCCATTGCCTAATTAATTTTTTTTCTCTTCCATTGTCTTCTTCCTGTCGCCTCCCTCAGTACCAACCGAGAATACACAAAACCAAAATCAAAGCTCACCATACCAGCACTCAACAAATTGAACGTATATACTTAATCTCCTATATTCATCACAAGACCCATGCCATCGGCTACCTTCAACCATTGCCGTTTGGCAGACTTTACCCCCTTTACTACGACTTACCGAAAGGGATGGAAATGGAGGATATGAAGCAAGACCACCAAGTGGAGACAAACTAGAACGTTCTAGGAATGATCGGTAAGTGTGACATCACTCCTGCCAAGCTCTCACCAGTAACCATCATTTACAGGCATTGGAACATACAACACAAAAAGAGTGAACCCACGACCATGTGCTATTTTTTGGGGTCTTGACGAAGTTGCTTGAAAATGGGTTTGATCCGTCGGCCTTACATACAGCTGATGCCTTAGTTGCGGGATCCTAACATGCGACGGTGACGAAAAGACATGGCACTAGTGATTTTGTAAAAAGATATAGCGCTATTGGTCTTATGATTGCTCAGACTCCACGATCGTGCGCTACTTCCTCTTCTCTAGATTCTTTACGAGGTCTCCTCGTATCTGAAAGTGAAGGATTTACCTTGAAATTTAATCGCTAGTACGTAGCATGACATTATGGTGGTTTTATAAAGATTCGATGGGACGAAAAGAGCCCCATGAAGCCCTCATTGAATGCATCTGCTGGAGGTTCTGGTGCTCCAAATTGTTGTACGGCATGAATGGATGAGGAAAGCAGCCTGGCGTTGGTTGGGGACTTAGCATCATATGCCGTGATCTATGAGCAATAAATACGAGTGTCTAACTATAACATATAGGCTTTGTTCGTTTCGCAAAAATTAAGATGTTTTTGGAAAATGTTTTTCAGGAAACTATTTTCAAGGAAAATGACAATATTTGCCGATATTCGGCTGAAATTTGAAAATGAACCTGAAAATATTTTCCACCATTTGGTATCCGATTTGATTTTCTAGGGAAAATTACAAAAAAATTTGAAATTTTTATTTTTAATTATTTTTAATCTTTTTTTTAACCTTTCTTTCTTTTTTTTCTTCTTCCTTGGCCGGTTGCTGGCCACAGTGGCCGCCGGCGATCGGCCACAGGTGATCTTGAGCCTCGCTAGAGGTTGCTAGCGCCTCGCCAACACCTGGCGAGGCTCGAGCTCACTTAGGGCTGGTCGCTAGCCGCTGCCGTGGCCAGCGATTGGCCGAGGAAGAAGAAAATAAAAAAAGAAAAAATAATAAAAAATTCTATTTTTAAAACAATAAAGAAATAAAAATAAAGAAAAATGTGTTATATGAAATAAAATGAGGCAAAAGAAGATATGGAAAATGTTTTCCGCTTTCTAAAAAGCGGAAAACATTTCGCTCACTTTTGAAGGTTTTTTTTCAATTGTTGAAAAATGTTTTCCATGACTGGTTTATTTTCCGTGAAACGAACGTCGGAAAATATTTTCCTGGAAGTTATTTTCCATGAAACGAACGGAGCCATAATTTCAATTTACTATCGTCTCAAATTTTCTAAGTTATGACAGAATGATAGGTTGTATTTGACCATACTGAAAGCTCACATTTCTTTCAAGTTAGAGATACCTTGCTAAGCCTTAGTTTTATTCCAATGAAGTAAATACTAGCCTTTTAAGAATAGGTAAACGGGATTAGCTCATTAGCAGCTCGAGCCCATATTCATTTATGTTCTGTTTGGACTCGAGGTACCTTTGGAAATTATGGTCCTTTCGGGAGGAGAGAAGCGATTAAAAAAAATGAAGCGCCTTTTTCATTAACTAAATCAAGAATAGATCTTCAGAAAATTTAGGCTACACCATACGACATTTATTGTGATATAATTATTGATTATGGTTTTCTCTACCCTTTAGGATCGATAATCTCTTGGATTTTTCGGGTGCTATTCCCACTAAAGGGCCAGGTTAAGTTTGCATGGGTTGAAATTAGATCAAACTCAAATTGACCCATTTAATTCATATTGACTCATATTTTTGTAATACAATTTTGGCAACCCATACTCAACCCCCCGAACTCAAGTCATACCCAATTCAACCCAAGCTCCAATTCTTTGTAATTTACCCCATTAAAATACTGACATTGATTGCTTTTTTTCCCTCAATCGTTAGATTTTTTAATCAAAGCAATGCAATGCTACCTACTATTTAATTTATTACAAAAATGATAAACGCAATAAACTAAAGTAAAAAGGAATTGCAAAGCTTAAAAATAAAGGAAAATAAGTTCTTATTATGAGTAGATTTCATTGGCTGTCATTAAACTTTGATATACTCAAATTTACTTAAAGAACGGAATCCAACAACAATATCATTATCCCGCGTAACGTGCGGGAATATCTCTATTGGAACCATTGAGCACTTCAAAATTCCCAAATAATCACGTTATCGTATGTCAAAATGGTTCAAACAAAAGGGCCCAAAATATTCATGATCTTTCATTTCCAATTTTCTTGCTTGATCAACATGGGTTGTGGGTTGGTACAATCCAGACCCACTAAAACACATCTGATTAGACGTTCTTATTTTAAGGCACATGACAACCCATTCTTTAGATTTTAGCTAACCCAACTCGGCCCATTAAAGAGCGGTTCTTTGATCCATTTTGACACCTCTCCTTGTACTTGAACGCGATCATCAATTTTATCAGAACTTCGGATTTTTTTTAACCGTGCTCTCGGTGCATTTGGCTAGATCATCAGCTGTCGTTTATGCAAGAATGGGGTCAACCACGTCATGATTTGGCTTCATGAATGCCGAGTGAGAAGACTACCCTTTTGCGCACTTGGAATTGCATGATATGCCGCACAAATTACGATTCGATCCTGTGGAAATAGGGACTTTACATCAGTCTCCTTAAAGACTTCTCTGTCAAATTGCCTGGATTTCATTTAGTGGGTGGGACTCAATTCCGAAATAGGGACTGACCGAGTCAGAAAAGTCACCAAGGAAGGTGAGTATTCACAACCTTTTTAAGCATAGCTCATTGCCTCAGGAAAAGAAAAACCAACTTAGAGAAGGAGAAGTAGAAGAAGAAGAATCCATGGATTCTTCATCAGAACTCAAGAGGGTCATGAGCCTTGTGGATGCCCTTGCCCTTTTCACTATCTTTGTCATTCCACTTCCTGCTCATGCTTCCCCAGCAGAAGCCCAAGCCCTCCTCAAGTGGAAGTCCAGCCTTGGCAACCATTCGGTTTCTTCCCTCTCTTCGTGGACTCCCTCTCCTCGTAAGGCCACCGGTTCCAATTTGACCGTGAGTCCATGTGCTTGGTATGGCATCTCTTGCAATCAAGCCGGAAGCGTGATCAGGATAAATCTCATCGGCGCCAATGACGAAGGTACGCTTGATGAATTCCCATTCTCATCTTTATCTCATCTCATGTACATGGACCTGAGTGTAAATAGTGTCTTCGGCCACATTCTGCCTCAAATCGATCTTCTGAGCAATCTCACCTATCTCAACCTCTCTATCAATCGGTTCTTGGGTAAAATACCAACAGAGATCAGCAGTCTAACGAAATTGGAGGTCCTACACCTGTTTTTCAATGGGCTAAATGGCTCCATTCCCCTAGAAATTGGGCAATTGCATTTGCTTAGTGAGGTTGTGCTGTATTTGAATCAGTTGCATGGATCCATCCCTTCCTCATTGGGTAATTTGAGCAAATTAGCTAGACTGTATGTCTACAACAACTCCCTTTCTGGTTCTATACCTCCTGAAATGGGATATATGATAAATTTGAAAGTGCTCCACATGGACACCAACTTCCTGACAGGACTAATTCCTTCCACTCTGGGGAACTAAACCAAATCGAGAGAGCTGCACCTATTTGCTAATAATCTTAACGGTTCCATCCCCCTAGAGCTAGGGAATTCGAACCTTCTTAGCTCGTTGAGACTTTACGATAATAATCTTACCAGTTCAATCCCGCCAATTTGACAGAGCTTACCCATCTTTTACTCTATGATAACTAGCTTTCGGGTCACATTCCTGATGAGATGGGAAATCTTCATGCAATGCAAGACTTAAAGCTGAGTGGAAATCAGCTCACCGACCCAATTCCTTCTTCTTTGGAGAACTTGATTGACCTAGTATATTTGCACCTCCATCTCAATTAGCTTTCTGGTTTGATTCCTGGATCCTTAGGGTATCCAATGAACTTAGAGGTGCTGCTATTGAGTTTCAACCAGCTTTCTGGTAGTATTCCTGATGAGTTAGGAAATATTCAGGCTTTGGACCTGTTACATCTGAGTACAAATCAACTCACCGGACCAATTCTTTTTTCTTTCGATAATTTGACTAACCTAGTCTATTTACGTCTCAGTGAGAATCAACTATCGGGAAGATCTCTTTATCGATTTACAATGCCACCAGCCTTTCACTCCTCATCTTGTCTAACAATAGCTTAACCGGTAGCTTGCCCCAGTGCTTATCATACTGGAGCATTTGTTTATCAGTTTTGGACTTGCGAATGAATAGTCTTTCGGGCACGATCGCTCGAACATTTTCACCACAAAGTAGCTTGAGAACTCTTGACCTGAGTCACAATCAATTCGAAGGGGCATTGCCACAATCTCTTGTCAATTGCAAAAGCCCGGAAGTCCTAGATTTAAGCAACAAGAAGATAGATGATAAGTTCCCCGCAGGGCTGGGAAGATTGCCAGAGCTAAAAGTTCTTAATCTGAGGTCCAACAATTTTAAGGGTCTTTAAGATTTTCCAAGAGTAGCTCATCTCTTTTCCAAGTTGTACATTTTGGATCTCTCAAACAATGACTTTACTAGTCCTTTACCAGCCAATTTGATAGCGAAACTTCGAGGGATGATGAATGGGCAAAGTGGGCAAGAGCTGGAAAGAAATTCTATGAAGCTTCCGTGAATGTGATCATGAAAAGAAAGGAGATTCAACTAGAGAGGATCTTGACCATCTTCACAACCATCGACTTATCGCTCAACTCTTTTCAGGGGAACATCCCAAGTGTTATTGGAAATCTTCATTCTCTCGTAGGACTCAACCTTTCCCACAACCACCTCGTGGGTTCCATTCCTTCAACCTTTGGAAATTTGACTAACCTTGAATGGCTACATTTATCTTTGAACAAGCTTAATGGGAGGAGGGTTCCCATAGAACTGGGAGATTTGTCATTCCTTGGGTATTTGTACCTCTCAGAGAACCAACTTACAGGCCCCATACCTCAAGACAAGCAACTGAACACATTTACACGTGACTCATTTCGTGGAAACCAAGGCTTATGTGAAACTCCATTACGAAACACATGCCCCGGTGATGCTCAACCTCCTCCACCACCATCATCATTCTTCCAAAAGGATAGTACAAGAGAGCATGGTAACGGGTTTGATAGGAAAGCAATCGGGATAGGCTATGCATCTGGAATTGTGATTGGAATCTCAATAACGTATGTTACATGTGAAATTGGAAGACCCAAACAGCTTGCGTAAAAAATAAGAAGGATGGAGAGAAGAGGAGGCAAATGGATGAAGAAGCCAAAGTGGAAGGCCATCAAATTTCATGTAGGCCGATGAAAATGTTGGGAAGTGGTCCCTTTGAACTATGTGCAATGTAGATCAAGGAATATAATCCTTGTCAGATTGAAATGCAATTCGGCATATGGATGCTCGTTTTTATTATGTCATCATCTTCTTCTTTTAAGAGTGATGTCTGCATTGAGTCGATTGATTAGATGAACATGAAAGAGATCTCTCAAGAAAGAAACTCGCTTTGCATCAATAACCCCTATATGTCCTTTTCTTGCTTAGTGTACGCCATTTTTATATCTCCATGGGAAAGAAGATCAAGTGCTGTCCCATTTAGCCCGGATTTACATGGTTTTTTTTTATTCGGGTTTACATGATTGAATGTGCCGTTTAATATGTTCTTAAGGATCACTAAATTTGTCAATTGTCCCGTTCCAAATTTCTGTTGAAGTTGCAGGTCGGTATTAGATAGTTGACTTGCAGTCTTGCACCTATCATGCTTGTCTGCAATAGTGAACATGGGTACTAAGGTTCAAACCTCAAAGCATCTTCGAAGTTTAGATTCAAAGTACTCTTATTGCAAAATTCTAGGGTCCCCTTGGCACGAGTATATCAGTTTGAAACTTTTTGGAACATGAAAATTAATTTAGGGTAATGTGACACGGGTGTACCTGTTGCGAACCTCTCGGCGGAGCAAAGACGAGAAGACAAGTTTAGAGATAATGTCGAGTTGAAAACTAACGGTCCTCAATCAACGCGGGTTCTCCCAAACCATTATTTCGCGTGACATTGGAAAATTACAATTGAAATGGATCTATCTATGAAGTCCAACCTAATTAGGAGTCGTTACTAGCCTATTGAGGCCGGCTAGGAGTCCAGTGAAGAATGGGAGGTACCTCACTTTTACGCAATCAGAGATTTGAGGTCGGAAACTTGATAATACATATTCTTTAACTAGTGTCTTTTCGGTACGCTAACTTGATTGAATAGTTGCCTAAGTGATTTGCATGATCCTTACCCATTTTATAACCCTATGCCACTAAAAGATGCCCATGCGTGAGTGCGCAATTAGAATAAAGTAGACAATCACAACTGGTACGATAAGAATAAAGCATATGGAAGCAAATTCAATGAAGTGTCAAACAAAAAATTTACATGACCTTGTTATTAAGCCTAAGGACAACAACTTCCATGAGTTATGTTCAAATCGATTCCAATTTTTTCTAAGAGACTAACCTACCTAAATCTAAACTAAATTATAATGATATGACACGAATCCTATGCCTATGTGGCTAGATGAACTACGAAATTAAGCCTCCAATCATAACAATACACTTCAAAATCACGCCCAATCCACAGCCCACAGCAACGTTTAGTATGCAAGTCAGCCCATTCCGCTCATGCAAATGATGTTCAAACATGCAAAATCGACTAGGGATGACTTACATGCTAACGTGCCTTCGTACACATCTAAATTATAGTCAAACGGGACAAAACTTTAGTAAAACAAGCCCAGACGTCTCCAATCAGCAACATTCGAAGTGCACAATGCACAACTCATCTGAACAATCGACATAAAAACATGCCAACATCGCCAGGAAATCGACTTGCTAATATTTCAACATGAGCAATCAAAGCAACACCTGAACGGGGCTCGACTCAATTCAATTCACACCCAAAAAAACAGAAGTGACCCGCGACGTTCAGTACCAAGGCGGAAGCAACAACCCTGAGTTTCACATGAAAATAGTGCCTACACATACTAACGGCTTCTGATCAGAGAGATGAGAGGAGACGAGACAGATGTGTTTTTTGAAGAGACAAGCAAGACGAACGGCTTCTCTCAGAAATGATTCTGAGTTTTGTTCAAGAAATAGAAAACCTACTTTTTTTTGTTCTGATTTCTGGTTCAGAATCGGTTCTGGCACAAAAACTTGTCCCAGAAATAGAAAAATGAAATTGCGTTACCAAACGGGTTTCTGGTCCAAAACTGATTCTGGGAACAAAAAATCAGTTCTGGACAGAACCAGAATGGTTATCACGCTCTACCTAAAACGACTAGAAAACTAACCTCACAGTAACATGCCATCGAGAGCAATCAGAATGATCATCAATGACCTTGAGATTAACTCAAATCACATTCCATGATGAATGACAAGCAAGTATTCAACGAACGCAGCCCGCAATTTAATTACAGAAACGAAACCTAAACATGCTAAAAGTGATTGGAAACGATGGACACATTTAGGACTTAATTATGAACATGCAAAATGACACCCGAGCGGCGCTGAGTCTAGAACCAGCGGACTAAACTAGACTCATATTCATCAAACCAGGCTAAGCCCAAATCCATTAACTAATAAAACCCAAAGTTTTTTTTTTGGGGGGTCACTAAACGCCCACTCCCTACTAAATAAAGAAGCGGGAAAAGTGAAGAAGCGTTGGAAAAAGAGAGATTGAGAGGTGGAGAAAGTAGTCGGGTTAGTGGTCCATGTGTCAACTCCCTGATGAGATAATATGCGGTCTGTCTTCCAAAGGATTGTCTATTATATGATGCAAAGGTACATGACTTATGCTCATGCCCAAGATAATTTGAAGGAATTTAGTGGAAGAATTAGTGGAAGAAAAGATTTCATTTAGGTGTAACCATATCCGCACAGGAAAAGGCATAAAAATTGAAGCGTAGAATTCTGTGGAGATTCATTTATACATTTTAGTGTTTTGCTTCTGCCTTAAAAAGGCAAATAACATGCAAGATCAAAGCCTTTGGAGACTGCATTTAAGGAAGGAATTTCAAGAGGCACTCTTGCTCTTGGCTTAGTTTTGTTTGCTCATGGTCATATATGTTGACCGTCAACTGAGTTGGCTCTCCAATTGCCTATCCATTAGTCCAAGCATGGCTTATGTGGATACCTTATTGGTGAGTTGCTTCCAAGGAAGTTAGTTTGTTCCTCTATTGCAACTGTCAACCTGAAATACAGAATTACTTTCGCATGTGCTAAGTGGAACAACTTTTAGTTCAAGATCTTCCAGTTACTATTCCCTTTCCACTTTAAAAGAGCTTGAATGTTCTCTTACATCAGACAGACAAACCAAATGCTTGCTAGTATCAATGTTTGCTAGTAATCTGCATGGGAATTCCAGTGTCATGATACTTACTTGGTCCAATTCACATGAGCTTGAATCACCTAGTCTTTGATAGACCAAAGATGTTTTCTCATTTCACAATTATAGTCTCTTCTGACCACTTCATTTCAGTAAACACTCTACATTGAATGTTCTAGTAATGTTGAACACATCTGTATCACGAGAACATAGGGAAAATCTCATAGCAAAACTATAGTCCTATGCTCATGCTTCCAAAGTTGAGCATCCTTCCTTGCTCCCATCATTTGTTGCTGATTTTAGCTCGATTGGCATACACACACACACACACACATATATATATTTTAAAGTTGGTTATTCTGCTGCAGTCGTAGTTAACTACAATATCCGCAGCTTTACCTCTTCTCTGGTTTCATGTATTGTTTGGCAATTTTTCGTGATTTTCTGAAGATAAAACTTGTCCATGAACGTGTAGCATTGGTGCATGTAAAAACAAATGCCTTCACTGATGCCGAAGCACGAAAGAAATTAGGCTAAACAGTAGAATCGAAACGATAACGATGAACAAATTGTTCTCTCAATTGATTAACAATCAAAATATTCAAAGTCTACTCAAACGAAACCATAAAATAAGCTTATATATCCCCAAACCTAACCCTACTAGGATTAGTAAACATCAAAACGTAAATTTACGAAACTGCCCTTTACTAAATTAACCCATAAAAATACTAAAATAATAGAAAAACCCATCTAAACGACCCTGAATCGCGAAAATCCATCGTTAATCACAGCCAACGGCTGTGTGTATTAATCATCACGCCGTTTCGCTTTAGCCGACCAAATTTGAGCTCAATCCGAGATCGTTGACTTCGAGCCCGTCAGTTCGTCTAATCGTATAACGGGTCCACCGGTCCCCTTAGGTGCATCATCCTCCCCTGCTAGAGAAAGATTCGTCCTCGAATCTACTTCGCCTTCATTGTCGTCAATCTCTTCAGGATCTTCTTCCTCTTCAGCGTAGTAAGATGACAAATATGCTACATTAAAAGTTTCGGATACATTATACTTACCCGGCAAATCGATCTTGTAAGCATTGTCACTAATTCGTTCCAAAACTCTGAAGGGTCCATCAGCTCTAGGTTGAAGCTTGCCAAACCTTCCCGCTGGAAATCGTTCTTTCCTAAGGTGAATCCAAACTAGATCACCTTCCTTGAAGACGACTCTTTTCTTGCGTATATCCACGCGCTGCTTATAGTTCATGTTCTGCCTGTTGATCTGATTATGGACCTAGAAATGCAACTCTTTGATATGGTTTGCATGTTCTTCAGCTTCCGAACTAAATTGCTTAAGAACTGGTATCGGTGTGAGATCCAATGGAGTAATTGGATTACGCCCATAAATCACCTCAAAAGGAGTCTTGCCTGTAGTTCGGTTCTCAGATCTATTATATGCAAATTCTGCCTGAGGCAATGCCAAATCTCACTGTCGCGAATTATCTCCAATCAAACTCCGCAGCAAATTCCCTAAGATTTGATTGACAACTTCTGTTTGGCCATCAGTCTGAGGATGATGAGATGAACTAAACTTCAAACTTGTGCCCATGTATCTCCAAAGAGTGTGCCAAAAGTGACTCACATACTTCACATCACGATATGAGGTTATGGACTTAGGAATTCCATGTAGCTTAACAATCTCCTGCAGAAACAATCGAGCAACCTGTGAAGCATCATAGGACTTGCTACACGGAACAAAGTGGGCCATCTTCGAGAACCTATCAACAATCACCATTATTGAATCCTTACTCCCCTGCGTTCTTGGCAAACCCAAGACAAAGTCAAGACTGACATCCTCCCACGGTCCAA